TTTTTTATAATTAAAAGAGCAAGATCTGTTCTGTTTCCACTCTGTCTGAACCAGAGTTCTTTGAATTTGTTTGTTTTCTATACTGCATTTCTGTAGTATATTTTCTTTAAAGAAAGGATTCTTGTTCCAGATGAGAGTGAAGGATTGAATGCATGCATCAAATTTTTCTCCCTATTAGCCATAAAATTACAATAGAGATATTTTTTAATGCATAAAACTCCAAAAGTAAAAAGAAGAAGAAAGATGAGAATTTGAACAAAACTTTGAAAGGAGAAAAGGTGAGTGACAATAAGCAGAGTCAATTAATATATAGAATAGCCCATTCCCGATGAACAATAATTTTTGGTGCATACAACAGCAAGATGCCACGATCCTGTTGTACATCTGAATTGTATACAATCTGCTGCATGTATATTGCATAACAAACATTACAAAGTTATCATTGTGCTAGATCACTTTTAAATCACTAGTATTTAGTACATATATGTGTTCATTAATAACAAGGAACTTACGTTTTTTAAAAAAACATAGCCAAGTTGCAAATATTTGGAGCATTGCACTTAATAAAATATGCTTAAAACATTTTTACATATTTGTAAAATAGAATATATCCCCTTAGTATTCTCACTGTAGTTAGGGTTATTCAGCTGTAATTATGTGAATATATCTCCTTGGTATCCTCATACTCATTAGGGTTGCTTAGCTAGAATATATATAAATATAAATTCTTGCATTTTCGTCTGGCTAGGGTGATTTAGTTGTGGTATATGCAAATATATCCCCCTGGTGCTTCATACTGGCTAAAATTATCTATTTGTGGTATGTGCACCTCTGCTGATTACCTGGAATTGTCAGGTAATCATGTCAATGTTGTTGACTAGAATAGATATTATTTTCCTCCCCTTATAATTTGAGTGTTAACACTAGAGAACAGTTTACTCCAACATACTGCCTTCTCAGAGAGAGGAGACGTTCTTTCATTGCTTCAAATTATTTTGAAAGTAATCAAGAGTTTATGAAAATTAACAATAGCATCCCATATATGCATAAGCACCTAATAAGTAGGGAAATATCTGTTTCGGCAATAATGTGGAAACCTTTTACGAAATGGATAAAATTTAAATGTTAGACATTATTTATTCTAAATTACCTTTAGAATTAAGATATAATGAGCTTTTTATGCTTTCCAAAGTTTGTTAATTTAATTCTTTAAAAAAAGGCTGTCAAATTTTATCAAAAACCTAAATAATTATTTTCTGGCTACCTAAAAAAAATAAAAATTATCATTCCCTGCCTATTAATAGGTTAACAAACAAACTGAAATTAAAAAGCACTTTAAAATCCAATTAGAATCTGATAAAAATCTTACCATTTTATATAAAATCTGAATATTTCATGAGATATATTATTTAAGGCTATTTACCACTTTGAAAAATCAATGCTGAGATTTTTAACAGTGACATGCCATCTCTCTCTAAAATTAAATTTTGGGACACAATGATCATTTAAATATGAATTTTACTTTAAAGTAACCCTGACTCCAGAAATTCTGAAATCACTTGTGCATTTAATTTGTAATTAACTATTAGCAATCTGATTATGCAACTTTTGCAGAGTTGAAGAAACACCTCACAGAGCTTCATTTTCATATTTCTTATTTGCTCAGGAGTTCTATGTAAAGGGGATAAAGAGATACAAAATTCCAATTATAAAGTAAAATAGTCACATGGAAGAAAGTACAGTATAGGGAATATAGTGAGCAATACTATAATATATTCGTGTGTTGACCGATGGTAACCATTTATGGTGGTAAACATTTTGTAAGGTATGTAATTGTCAAATGTCTATATTGTACACCTGAAATCAATATAGTTTGTGTATCAACTATATTTCAATTAAAAAATAAAAATAAAATGGGTTTCTTTTTGCTTAGTAAAGTATGCTTTAATTTTTAATTTAGAAAAAGTTCTAGGGTACTAACGTCTAAACCACATCATTATTAATTGTTGATATTCAGCCTATCTCTCCCTCTCCTTTTGCTGATTTACACTGAATTATCAATGTACAAGGAACTTTTAAATTAGACATGAGTTGAACTTCAAATACAATAACAGTATGTGGTTTTATACAACCCTATGAATAGAGTTAATATCCGCCCATGGAAGAGATGAGATCATGACTGCTGCCTCTAGAACTGCCACTTTGCTCATTTAAACTACCTAACCCTAAGGATCACATGGCATAGTCCAGCTTTTCCTACTTTTGGGCAGCTTATCACCCGAAGAGTTGTCTTCTTTTCTCCAGGTAGCAGAGAAGCGGCCATCCTTGATGACCCAGGACTCAGGAAGTGTACTTCCCTTAATGCAATGAGCATATCGTGATTCATTTACCCATGCAAGAGAAAAATGAAAGTCAAAGCTGAAAGTAAAATGGACATAATTTTAATGAATTTTTTAAATTTTGTGCATTGGATTCAAACAGCAAACTGTGTGCACTCAACTGTTATCACAATGTTGTCGAGAGGCCTGTGTCTTCACCATTTCACACACAATTGTCCATTGCAGCATGTTATCGTCCTTGTGGAAGCCAGGGGTGTGGCGTGGTAAGCAGGGTGGTAGTGCACCTAGCTTTTTATATCCTCTAACTCGAAAATATTTCTCTGCTATGATTCCTCTTTTTCTTGATAAAAATAGTTTTCACCAAACGTTGGTGGTGCACACGCACTACCATTCATGCTCGACATCACACCCCCGACAGGAACATGTGTTCTTATTTTGTTGATAAAAAGTATTACAAAAATTTCCATACAAAAACTATTTTCATAGAAATCTTGCATTTCCACAAATAAACCTGAACATTTTTTTGAAAAAAAACTGCTCAAGAATTTTGTTCATTTAACACTGTGACTGTATTGATAAATGCAGTCCGCTTCAAAGTTCTCTGCACATATTTTTCTCTAGAACTTTTTCCTTTCACCAAGATCTACCCAGGCTCCATCAAGTTCATTTACAGCAGGAACAAGGGTTTGGATTAACCTATCTGAACGTTAGAATGGAGCTTCGGTCTTCCACATCACCATCAATACTCAGTCCTCGTTTACAACTTAGGACAAAGCTTGCAAAACATTATCCTTTTAAACTCAGAATCTCTGAACCTACTGTTGCTTTTATATTACTGGTGTAGGGCTGGGGAAAGGGTCTCTGGGGGCAATAGGTAGGGATATGGTAGAGTTGCATGTGCAATCTCCTGTCTTGGTGAATTCAAGAAAAATATTATTGCCTTGGTAACTGACATTTCTACCTCGGTCAGTGACACAGATTGTCAAAAAGAAAGAAAGAAAGAAAATACTGATGAGGATCTGCTTTATATTCCACTTGCCATGAAATTCAGATTTGTTTTGCATTACATTGTTTTCACATCCCATAAACACATATCATCTATTCACTGTTATACTGAGTAATCGGGGGCTGGTAACATGACCACCTCATTATCTGGGGGCTCAGAAGACTGTACTGTTTCTTTTAACACTACAGTTTTTGCTCATTCCAGGTATTTTTATTCATAATGTTTTTTTTTTTTTACTGGTTACGCTTGGGGCATTGATATTCCATCTCCTGGCAACAGTTGGACTTCAAAAGGAACCTGTAATTTCTTACTGGACTGCATTTGAAACCAGCCACGAGATGCGCATGTCACATTCACTCAGAAGAAGGGAGGAGGAGCCCACGACAGTGTAACCCTGTGTGACTGGGTCGATCCATGATGCTTGTACATCAAGTCTGATCACGGCAACTGCTTAGATCACAGAGTCTCTAGTTCATAGACACAGCGGCATGAGGTAACTCATTTTATTTTGCACAGGTTGCATATTTCCACAGGAAACATTCTCGCTAAATTGTTTGGAAAAAAGACGACAGTTTGTGCTTGGGTATTTGGTCTCCCAGCTTTACGCCATGGTCTCTTTACCTGGCAACCTTCTGTCGTTAAATGTGTGCATGTTGATGACTTCCTCTGTTTTCACGATCACCGGGGCCTGCGGCTTGTGTTTTAACCGGCGCTGGCACTGCAGAGACATCCGCAGTTCTTCCACCATGGCGCTACAGAAGGACCTCTAAGAACGACACGGAAAATGCAATGTTACCAAACAGACAAAGGGCGACTGTCCAGAAGCAACATTCAAATCATTCTCAACAGACTTGTCAACAGAGTAGCCTTGAGCTTTCAGAAGTTTCATTATAAAAGTGGTAACAGAACTGTTACACTTTTAATACACATGATAATTAAAATATTTCATCCAAGTGGGCTAGTTTAAAGAAAATCTCCACCTGATCACCATTATGAACTGCCTACTAGGAAGGCATGTATTCCACATCCAGTGAATACGATTGTCAGATGGAAAATCGATTAGCATCGTAAGATACAAATCCACCTTAAAATTTAAATACAAACTTATATATACAAATCAATCACCAGAAACCTATTTTTGATCTTAAAGGAAATGAAATGTACTATTTCTTTGATCATAACATGAGATAGGAAAATTTTCTTTAAACATAGGTTCTTCATTTTGCATCTCAAAACAGAACAAAAATAGTACTCACACACTTAGACATAAAAACATGGAAAATAATTTCTGGTATTCATTATATTTTTTTGTGATTATGCCTATAAAACATGATTACTAACACATATCATGAAATGACAAATTATAGCACATTAAAAATCTGTGAACAAATATTACATATTTTTATCATCAGCTTGATAACTGAGGTCTGGTAAATAACCACTGCATGATGATGAAAGTATATATTTTAATTTCCATTTCATTGGCAATATATTTCTTAGAAATTCTGTATATCTGGGGTTCATATGTAAAAACCCTTCAAAATTCCTACCATGCTCATACATATATGTGAAGCAAAATTTGCTAGTCTCCTTCCCCAGTTAATCGAGATACATGTGTTAGTTACATTAATCAAATTCATGAACCAGTTGCATATTACAGTTAAAATTCAGATGGGCTGAGACTTGGGCTCTTTCTGTGCAAGAACTAAAAATGTGGACAACCAAAAAGGTGGACAAATATGAAAAAATCACACAATTCCATAAAGTGATATGAGAACATAATGAAATAAATCTAATCAAATATGCATGTGAAGGGGTGTTTTTTTGTTTTAGTTGTTACTGCTATGAGGCTATTTCCAAAAGAACACAGGACAAAAATATTTGATACTATATATATGACTTATGTTTTAAAAATATTTTGCATACATAATCTTTTATGATGTTCAATTTAATTCTTTGAATCAAAGTGGGCATCTATGTGTCAGAGAAAACTGACTCAGAGAGAGCGTAGGTTAGGCACTTTCCACAGCTCTCATCTGAGACCTCAGCAGCACATCCCGACACACTATTTGGTGATTTTGAACCGTGCTCCTGGACCTTCTTGTCCAGTCCTGGCTGTATTCTCATTTTTGTTTTATGAGTTCCTGAACAGTTTCCATGGTTGTCTTCTCAAATCTAGGTCTAGGCTATTCCTACCCAAAAGGCTTATAACCAGAATAATCTATTTTTTTAACATCACTTATTAATAACATTATTTTGTCCAAAAACAGGTGAAACCCAAGTCTCTTTTTCCCATCATGATTTCTGTGTTCCAGCTTTCCGCCTTCCTGACCTCACCCCAGTTCCTTTTTCTCTCCACACACCCTTCCCTGCTTGGACTGCCCTGGTTTCTCTCCTTTGCTTCTATTTGCTCTGGCCCCCTGCTGAGGTCTTACATCCTTCATAGCAATCCAACTGTATCCCTTCCTCAGGACGTGACTCAAACTTTAACTTATTCAGGAATTGCTTTCCAATGGACCAGGCTCATTATTCTCACTCAATATAGTTTTTTGTGCTCATTATCACATTTTTCTATCTGGGCCCTAGGTCTTCGCCGAATTGCAAAAAGCAGAGATCAAGTTCTCGTGGGACTGACTGTACACCCGTACACCCGCGTGTTCTTTAAGTGCTGACTAACGTACTAGCTACACAGGATGCAAGCACCTTAATTCTTATTCACTAACGTTCTTAATTCAATTGCTTCAAAACATTTTCTCAGAAGCTTAGTAAAACACCTTATGTATAAGTCATCTCATTAATTAGGTAAAACTTTGGTATCTGTTTAATAACATTAAATTAGTCAAAATAATTAATTTATAAGTGCTTGTAATGGGTGATGAATAAATGCTACATGTGAATTCCCCACTAACTACAGAGTTATTGTCATGCATTACTTATTATGTGTTAAATGACACAGTTCTGAAAATCATGAATTTCTATTAGAGAATTTATATGACACCTGACAGCCAGTACATGGGCATGTTTTTCTTGTCACTTTATACCTACTATTAGATGTACTTATTAAGAACATGATGATAATGGTGGTGAAGATGGTGATGATGACAACACTGTAGAAATGGAAAAATCTGACTCCAAAAGGGGGAGGAATACATAGTCTTGAGGTAACTTAGTCTTGGCTCTCTGTTGAAACATTTAACAGAAGAATTGATTAGATACTGTAACAAAGTCAAAACGTGATGCCATTGACACTTAAACATGTTATAGGATGTGAATAATGCTGGTTTGAAATAAGCCTTCATTAGAAATGTATGAGTTTCCCAAATGTGAAATCCTTTATAACGCCCTCTTCTTGGCAAATTCAATTTTTAGGTATTTTGATATTAGTTTCAAAAAACATAATAGAATAGACTCATTGGTTAATTTTTTTTATCATACTAAGAGAATGGTCTAAACAACCGATATTCTTAATAAAAGAATCTTATAAATGTATATCCCCATTCAACTATGACATGACTTTATTTCCAATAAGTTAAGGAGTAAATTTACCCTATATTTAACTTCAGATGACAAAGACATATAAAACTCTTTTTAAGCAATTTATGTAACATAACATTTGTAATGCTAACATAAAATGTAGACCATAATACTTTCAAAGACCATAAACAACAAAGACCACAGTACTTTCACCTTTTATCATTTAAATTATCTTAATTATATTTACATATGAGAAACTCTGAAAATTATAAATGTAGCCCCACTGTTACCTTTTTAGTCTTGTTCCTTTTGCTAAATCTATTAGAGAGTGAACAATTTAATCAACCAATGAACAGCTTTAATTATATATTGTCAAGTTACTCTTATTAATTTTTCTCTCTGAAGAAGCTGCATTTTGCCCCTTCTTTTTTGATATGTCAATGTAAGTTTATCTGGAAAATTATTTTATCTCCATCTCCATGAGACAATAGGTTCTCTTATCACTTATAGACTGTATCTAATCTTTCACAAAACTATGAAAACCTTTAGATTTGAACAGGAGTTTGGAATCAACAGGGCAAGTTAAAAGAATTTAATGGTATCATAAAGTACTGTTCACTTGTAGCACCAGGGCAAACACATATTCCTTTCTATTTTTAAAGCATTAAAATACTCAGTCCATATATTGAATATCTAAGAATCTATAAAGTTGAAACTGTAGAGATGTTTGGGAAATACAGTTTCCCTGTGCTGTACGTTGCCAAAAAAAGTACCATGTCTGACTTAACAAAGTTCAAATTTGTCACTCAATAGAGACAAATTGTCTTTCCTACTTCATATAATGATTGGAATTTTTAAAGTCTCCTTTTATTAAACTACGAAATAAAGCTTTGAAAAACTCAAGTGTACTTTAACAGGAATTTCTGGGTTATAAAAAGAAGAAGAAAGGAGAGGAGAGGGCGAAGGACAGGGAGTGTAAGAAGGAAGCCAGGAGGAAGGAAAAGGGGAAGAAGGAAGAGTAAAGGGGAAGAGAGAGGTGGAAGGAAGGAGAGAAAGGAGGGAGAGAGGACAGAGGGGCTGAGGGGCGGGAAGACGGCGGGAGGGAGAGAAAACTCTTGCTTTTCACATCACTTCTTAGGGATGGAGCCCCACAAATTGTGTCATTAAATAAGGTAAGTTTCTTAGGGTGAAAACAACAGCAAAGATGTTTCTCCACATTCATATAACAGACTACAAAAAGAAAAAAAGAAAGGCACAGGATACTAACCATTATTAAAAACCTCTTTTAGTAAGTTTCAAAAGTTTACTAAACAGTGTCTGGATGGTAGGGTGGCACTAACCAAATAGAAGATTCCTGAAAATGAAAATTTAAATCTTTGAGCTGTTAGCATGTATAATTGCATTTAAATTAGTAAAATTCATTATAAAAATTCACTATATTTAATGAGGCAAGCTGTATTTACACATCTCTAACGGCTGAAACAATGATTCTCTAGAAATCTTAGAAGTATGAATTTGGTTATATTTACATTGCTTTTTAAACTGGCTATATATACTTCTTATTTTGAGTGTAAGAAGACAACATAGTAATCCACAGATTAATGTTTCTCAAGAATATCATTATTGGTGTGATTCTTAGTAGCTTAACTTTTAATTTATAGGTATGTTTCTATGATAACATCATATGACAGCACTTGAAGCATATAATTTTTTAATATTAGAAATCTAGTCATAAACATGCTCCACATCAAACACATATTTAAACTTCATTTTTAAGTTAAAACCTTTATATTGAGCAATGTCTTTTTTAAAGCTGCAACTGATGAAAAATCACCAGTTTGATTTTTTTAACTTTGAAGCTCATCCCTTTCATGTTGAATGTTTGTAGTCATTTATCACCTGAAGGAGAAATAATCATAGAATATTATACATGACTATCAAGTCTGGATTTAGTAATTACTCTTTAAAGAGGGAACTCTATTTTATGTGTTCTGCTATCCTATTCTCTGATAGTATAAAATTATGATATTCCAATATTCAACCATTTTGGCATACAGTTCTTATTTGAAGCCTTACCAACACATCTTAGAGCTGTCACTGTCAAATTCTGTAGCTCGATGTTCTAATACCATCTAGCATGTATCTGCCAAATTGTTCTGATTTGTGTTGACAATAATTGTTAACTGATTATGGATACCTAATCCATTCTCAGACACTTTTCTAATGAATTTCTGAAGCTGTGGGTCATTTGGCCAAGAATTCAAACCACACGCAGTAGAAATAAATTCAAGC